TGGAAGCAGCAGCTTCTAGCTCAGATGGCGAGTAGCCTGTGATTTGCACAAGCGTAGCAAAGTGGTCGACGTGGAGGTTCTGGATTTGGAGGTTGCAGCAAGCTACTATGATCTGCGGTCGCTCGTCTGCCATTGTTCGTGCGGCATCGGCCAAGTCGATTTGCGAGACATCATCGTCTACATGAGCTCCAGAGATGACAAAGACGATTGCTTTTGCCCTTTTGATGAACTCGTAGTGAACGTTGGTGATGCCGCCACTTTTCGTATATGGCACATGGCGGACCAATGAGTGCCGCGAAGCAATGGCACGGCCCAACGGTTCGAAGGGATCCTTGTCGTTGTCTGCGAATCTATTGTGAGGAACAACAACAGGCGTGAGCAGGACGATTATGTCGTCTTCCGATAGAATTCTTCTCAGGGGGATACAGTCTTGTCGGTCCCATAGTAACATGGTTGGGGTAGTTTGTGTAGACTTTGGGCTTTTCTTAGACGTGACATGGTGATCGATCTGCATTTCCGGAGAATACCTCATGGCGGAGATGGTCAGTTGCGGTCTCTTCAGCTCATCCCTATGTCAAGTCAGCGCGCGGTTACACAGATTAGCGCCGTGTAAGGTGAGTAAGCGTCAGATGGGAAGCGGTGGCTTTTTGGACTTACTAGGCCCGTGTAAGAGGGATTCCGTGCGAACGGCATGAGACGACTCGTTTGCTGCTCGTCCCGTCGCCAGGTCCACTCTGCCACGATGTTACGAGCCAGCGCACGACAGCTGCGGCTATTGGCGATGGGCCGACCCAGAAGCGCAATCGTCTGCTGGCCCAGTGTCTAGCTGGTTAAAGAGATCTTGTTGAATAGAGAAGATTTGAGTGATGGGCCAGATGTAAGACGATGATAAGCACTAGGGCACGTCAAGGCGAAAAAGACGTGAGCTGGAATGGTTCGGTGTGTTCTCTGCGTTGCTAGAACAACAGAAGAGACCAGGATAAATGTCGACAGTAGATAAGATTGAGGAATATATCCTCGACTGTTCGATGTTGTCGCGAAGCGCTGACTATTGTTGTCATTCAATTTGCTCAAGGAGACTAAACGTCAATCAACTCGATGGCACCTGGCACCTGGGCAAGCAAGTCTTGAGGGAATAACCAGACTAAATGTTAGAAGACACATATTTACAAACGTGAGGATTGGTTACACATACCTCAAAGGGCTGGGAGCAGGGCCGCGTCTAAGAGGACGATAGACTCGACAGAGATCTTTAACTTGATAGGTGTGGGAGGAAGTGCATGAGGGCAGTAGAGAGAGAGTGGGGTGTGCAGCAGAGGCGACCGGCCGAGGGCACGACCAGGCCGAAGGGACAGCACAACACAGCCAGTCAGCCGGATTTCCTACAAAGATGGGGACAGATGGGCAACATGGAGGGGGAAATCTTGAAAGAGGATATGCATGGAGGCATCATCAGCAGATGCATAACTTGAGAATGGGTATGTCAGAACGAGTAGGACACGAGGTGAAAGACGCCCAGCGGTCAAGGTCGAGGGCCCTCCAAGATTCCTCACCGTGGGTGGTGGGTCTTTGTAGCAGGTTACCAAATCAAGGGCTCTGTGGTTCCTGGTCTGGGGGACACTCGTCTGACTGATGCAATAACCAAGTTGGTTGTAGGGATAGAGAGAGGTGTGCACGCGTGCGTACGTGTGTGTGTGTGTACCCATGGAATGAAGAATGGTGGGAGGGAGGGAAGGCTGAATGGACGGATGGATCCAATGTAACCGGCGCGGTACGGAGCGGTAATACGTCCGTCACCCTTAGCTTACTAGGTACTCTGGATGAAGTTGGTCTTGGATCATGGATGGAAGGGGGGATAACGGAGCGTTGACGGACGGATCTTTTACCTCGATGTGCTGACCACCAACCGAGCCTTGCAAGTGCCACTTAGCAACATGAGGGTTATTAGAAAGGGTTACACAACGCTGCTGCAGACGAAATTGGCGTCCGGCATGCGGCGTGCGGCGCGCGGCGTATAGTGACCACCACCTCGAGGTAAGGTATCCCGTAAGGTGAGGTGAGATGGGCACTGCGGTAAGCAGACGCCACTACACATGACGGCCGAAAGGTGACACAGAGCCAAGCCCATGCTGCGATAGATTGGACCTCAAGGCACACTACGCTGTCATGGAAGGTCGCAAAGCCCCCACGGCAGCGGATGAAGGTGGTCCAGTCTGCCAAGGAGAGAAGTCGAGACGGAACAATATTAGCTATCGGTGTATGCGGTCTGCCTCGATCATTCGTCCAGGTAAAGTCGCCGCTACTAGTGGAAACCCGCTTGCGGCTTGCTATCGTCGCCTGTCATCCGTGGCCATGGTTTTGGAGCTCCCGACCAACAAGTGCCCTGGACAGGCCCGCTGAAAGGAGAAGGTCCCAGGACATATAGGAGGCTTGCGTAGTTCTAGCAGGGCCGGCTTTGGGGGGAGTTTGTGTGCTTGTCGGGGTGTGAAAAATAGGGTTTACCGGGAGAATCCTACCGACGAAAAGGGACGACGAAAAGGCGGCACAAACAGGGGAGATGCCCATGCCCAGGTTCATTCGGTCCTCTCTCGGCTGTGGAGACATCGGGCCGCGACTGATAATGATATGTGAGGTACAGAGCGAGAAATCCGAAAGACACATGGCGAGCAGAGTCGTCGCTCGGATGATTTGATCAAACGAGGGAGAGACGTTACATAACTGGGAAGAGTTGTAAGGCCCGGACACGGTCAGTCTGTCCTGACCTCTGGTCTGTAGGCAGTGTTGATGCGGACCTGGAACGATGTCAGTGACCAGACCAAAGTGCAGTGAGGAGTCATGAGACCTGAATCGACACCTCGGCCACCGTGGTCTTGAACAAAACATGCGGTCAGAAGTGGAGGCGACAATGACCTCGCGCATCAAGGTGGAGGTTTGTAAGAAGCACTGGACCTCGGAGAAGGATGTGACGGGGCCAGAGAACAGAAGGATTCTTGCGAGGTATTTGCGTAACCAGTTTGTGGAACAGCAGGTAAAAGATGGCACTACTGCGTAGATTATGTTAGGGATGAGGCGCTTCTGACGCCTCGGTCAGCGAGCTTGGCCAGATGAGGGCAATATTGGAGCCAGTTGTATTTCTGTAGGATGCGACTGTTGGAGGTTGCAGGTTGTTTCGAAGCAACCCTGTCATTGAGAGGCAGCTACATACGCAGTAACGCAGTAGTTGTCCAAGGTAAGGCAAGGTAAGCAGTGTTGGTGTTACGGTGAGAGACGTTGGCGAAGGCAAGGTAAGCAACTAAGGTAGCCGTGGGTAGTAGGCGCGAGGTCAGAGGTTACGCAGGAACTTGGCGGGACGGAGCGTCGGGATGGCGGTATACAACGGTGAGCACGGGCGTTTCTGGAACGGGTATGCAGTACAGAAACGTTCGCACCTACGGTACCTTAGCACTTGAGGTAGGCACCTAACGGTCGAGGATGTCATCGGTCGATAGGTACGTCTCTTCGTGCCGTAGTCGTACCTTTTCTTTCCGTAAAGTACATCACATAAGGTACCTTGGCCTCTAAGACTTTTGACCGGTTCGTCGCATTATCTCACGTTCGCCTCGGACTTTCCCTGACGAAAAGAACAGACTCTTTCGTCTCCATGCCAAAAGACGGAAAGCCATGTCGAGATACCCTGCCATACATGGGCATCATGCGCCCTACTGTGTAAGCAAGTCCACTTTAATATCTTCCTACCTTACTGGGGGCCGTGCTAGGTACTCTCCTCTCTCCAGGCGCAGACGTAACCAGTTGCAGATCGCGGTTGCAGCAAATGATACTTTCAAGTTGCCTTGTGTAACCCCAAACAAGACCATGAATATCCCTCTTCCTTCCCTTTTGCTACTACCGTGCATGTGTACCTGCCTCTTGTCGACAGTTCCTACCCGAACCCCGTAGCCGCGACGTAAAAGCTAGGAGCAGGCCGGGTAGAAGCGACATCATTCGCAACCCGAGCCGGATCGTCTTCGTCATCTTTTTCCATGAACCTGCTGCAAGCCCGCGACTCTCGACTCTTTGGATGACTGCACCTCATATCTCACATCAGTCCCCCCGCTATGGACCCCAGAGACCAAATGAGCGGCAGCCATGGCAGCCAAGACGGCATATGCGCCGCTTACGGTCCGGAAGGTTTGCCACGACGTTAATGGCCAGCAATTGGATACCCCCAACCAGACCGGTGAGCATCTTTTGCAACTGCTCAGGCTTGCCCGTTTGCTGTTCCCCGCCGCCCACAGAGACGAAGTTTTGGGGTCCAAATCACCAAAGGCCGTATTCGTACCGGAGCAGATATCCATCAATCAGCACGGGGGCAAATTTCAACTGTGGTCAGATTCTCAGGTCATGGCATGCCCTCTCTGCATGCTCTTCATTTACCCGCAGGACCTAGACAGCGGTGCAACAACACAGGGGCTCTCGCCTGGCCTCATCGCTCGGCCTCGCCCAACCCTTCACCGAGGCGTGCTGCTGCTGATGCCTCCCTGTCCCGCGCACATTCGCGCTCCTTACGGACACTGCTGACCGAAAGCCTACCCCCACATCGAATCCGATACCTTGTAAGGAGTCGAAGACAGCTCTGCTGCTCCGGTTCTGGGCCTGCATCTGTTTTAGCGAATTGCTGAGGATGGAGCTTGCTCCGGCCAGTGACCCCGGACGCTGGGCGCCGAAGAACGGACCCATACCGGCTCTATACAGCCAATAAGGAAATGGACCCACAAAAGTGACAAGGTCCGAGTGCACGGTGCAGTTTTCCCGGTCTGGACACACTCACCTTGATCTTCACCCCGCGACGCGTCTGCCACTCTCATTCACCGTTCTGGACAGCTCGGGCCTGCCAACCCATGCTGCGACTTGACGACGCTTGACCCGCCTGCCTCATCTAATGTCGCCACACTGTATCCATCCATTGGAAATTCGGCACAAACAGAGTGTCGCAATTTCAAGACGTCGACATACCTGGTAGAATGGCTTCGCCCACCAACGATACGTCTATGAACATAGACGTTGACCTTGACGTTGACCTCCTGATTGGCGATGTTGTGGAGGGTGAGTAAACCCCCTCACATGTGCAAGCCGTGTATAGACCCAAGTCTAATTCGTACAGCTTCCAAACTGCCTGCAAAACGGCGGGCGACCAGCATCAAGCCTACTGTTGAGAAGGTCGCATCATACGCATTTGAAAATGGCCTTCTTCCCGACTCCTTGAGCGAACTCATTGACCTACTCACGAGGCCAAACCTGTTGGATCAGGCAAGCTTGAATACAATACTCAAGAATCTTTACCCCGCTACTCGGCTATCCAGTGATGTCGTCCTGAGGGTTGTGGGATGCCTCGGCCATGGGGAACTGAAGCCTTCCCTGGTTCTGCAGTCGAACATTCTGAAATGGCTAATCATGGCATACCATGTCATCGAAAAACCTGCCATCTTGTCGCAAGCCTACGCTGTTTTGTTCAATTTGCTAGATACGGCAGCCATTCGGTGCGGAATTTTCCTCTGTTGCGAACGGAAAAGGGGCTAACACGACTCCAGACCGCAACTTTGCCATCTACTCGCCTTGATCACACGCAGAAAACACGTCCGGCCTTTTAGGATCCAAGCTGTGTAAGTTGGTCCCTCTGCAATCGCAGGTGGTTCTTGGCGCTAATGGCACATCTCAGCCTCAACCTCTCCAGACAAACAGGGAATGACCCAGCATTGACAGGGCTCCTCCGGGTCTTCAAAGACTACTATCCTGAAATCATCGTCAGCGATGCCTTGAGGGGCAGGGCCTCGGCATTCAAGGTGAGAGGTGCCACGGCATTCAAAAGGTATTCGTACTGATTAGGTAGCACCCCGACGTGGAATGGCGCGAAAGGTTGAACCAGATCCAACATGACCATTCTCAACGGACTGCCGAAGCAGCCAGTCAGCCTCAGAACGGCTTCAGCGTCAACCATCAGGCTTTACGGGCCCGCGGCAATAAGTCATCCAATCTCCCTCCTGTCTATACTTCAGAAGCCACAGAGGTAAGCGTTCGGAAGAAACACAGCCAGATAATGATGTGCCTGGCTAACAAGTACAAAAGACCTCCGTCACTCTAGAAGAGATTGATAGCGCCGATCGTCTTGCTCAGACAGTCGAGAAGATTGAGCTACCCAACCAGCTTGCGGCTGTACTAGCGGATCCCCTCTTGCAAAAATTCGTTGCCCTGAAAAAGGATGATGCTGCTTCAAAGCGCGTGGTTCATTGGATCGATGCCGTGCTCGAAGACGTGCTCAACGGTCATGCCGATGACAAGTCGTTTGCGGAGACGATGGAAATGCTGGAGGAATACGTCGCTCGCGTTAAAGTAAGTGTGGCAACCGGCCTTGGTTGAGTCTCGCTGACTGTGTAGGAAACTCCACTGGTCGTCTTGCAATTTTTGACGAAATTATTCACGACATGGAACGGCGTTGATGCTCGGGATTCCATCCTAGGCATCCTCCAGTACGCGCCTCTCGTGGTGTTTGATGGCAAGCGTTTCAACCTCGTTTTCTTCATCAACTTTGCTGACTGTGTAACAGAGCTGTACAATGTAATTCTGAAGCCACTAGAGAAGTGCCTCCCTCCAACGGCCGAGTCGCAGCTAGCACTGCTCAAACTTTACCAAAACCTCCTCCGCCGCTGGACCTTTGTTCTCAACTCGCTTGACCAAGTACCCAAAGATGCCCCCGTCAATGCCTTTTTCGCAGTCATGGAGCACGCAAGCATCATCGCCCTCAACGTTGTCCAAGCTTCCCCCAGCGCGGCTGTCCACGGCGGTGTCCTCGACCTGTATGAACAGGCTGCCGCCAGCATCTCTGACCCTACACTTCAACCTCTCCTCCGCATTGCCAATCCGCCCGCGCAGCTCATCTACCTCCTCTTCTTCGGCCACTCCCTAGCAAACGTGTCGCGCCTGTGCACCGTCCTCGCCATATACAAGAAGGGCTTCGAGATGGCCATGTCCAGGCGACAGCCGACAACGTATGCTCCGAGCTACGTGAACCATTTCAACGGGTACCTCATGGACATTTGCAACTGCCTCTGGCGCGGCAAGGCTTTCAACGATGGCGATAAGAACGCTCTCGGCTGCCTTAGCGCGGGCCCCGTCACACAGCGGCTGCGCAGATATGTCGAAGACCTGGGTATGGACCTTGCGCTCCCGACGCTGTTTGGGTTCTCCTACTCGCCGCTTTTGAGCTTGCAGGCCATTGAGTGTATCCGCGAGCTGGAGGATCGTGAGCTAGCTGCGAACGAGGACGCCATCTCTACACGGCACGCGGGGCCGGTGACGTCAAACAGTTTAGCAAGGTTGGCAGACGCAAGGGGGTTGCGCATCACTTGGTCCGAGTATAGGATCATTGTTCTGCGGGCATTGGAGAGCAAGGGGTTGGGCGGTATCCCGTCGTTGATGAAGAATACCATGAAGGTCCTCATGAGCTCCAAGAGTACCACATAGAGATACCATGTTGCCATGACACGGCTCGGCTCATGCCGGCAACAGGCTCGGAACATCTGCATTTATGATACCCCCTTTTCGGAGATGAGTAGCGCAGTTTTAAAGTAAATGTCTCTCTGACATTCTATTGCATGACTTGTTCATATCTGTCTAGTTGAGTCGACAGCTGATCCACCTTCCAAACGTCACGCCTCCCTTTTTGGTTGAAGACATAGGGTATCTCTGAAGCCGTGAAAATCCTAAAAGAAAATAAGTCCATGAGGACTGTGCCCGTCCCCTCGTTGAAGAGGTCTACTACATGACCAAACGCCGTCACCGAGCGAGGCCGGTTGAGAGTGCCCCCTTTTGTCCCCCCCCCCCCCCTTCGTCTGTATCATGACCTTTGTGCCTTTCTCTGTATGCCGTGGTCTAAGTTGAAAGACACACCGATGCGGTTATCGACCCCCTTGGTCGCTGCATCACAATGTTGAAAGCCAAAAACGCACAAACGCCGTCCCTAATGCAGTTGAGTGCCGTAGACGCCGTTCTCTCTAGCAAAATGCAGACAGAAATCTTGAAAAACAACCCAAATTGTTGAATCACGCCAATCACGAGCCAAACCCCCTCCGCTGCTCCAAACTCTCGTCAAAACATGAATAAGCTTATTTCAGCTTGTCAGACTCGTCGCCGTAGCCTCCAACGCCGCCAGTCGCGTACGTCTTGCCCTCAGGCGCGACCCTCGCCTGCGATCTCGGGCCGCGGTCCTTGAGATCCTTGCGCAGCCAGCCGAGGACCAGCTCGCCGAGGGTGCTGTTGCCCGTGGAGCCGTCGAGGCCCTCGATGAACTTGTCGGCCGTGTCCCACTCGCGGACGGTGCCGAGGTGCATGTGTACCAAGTGCGTCGGCCAGCCGGCGAGGTTGTCGAGGATGTGCGTCGCATAGACAATAGTGCAGTCGCGGATCTCCGTCTCGCGGCGCAGCCAGGCGAGGAACTCGGCACGGCTGAGGACGTCGAGGTCGACGGTGATCTCGTCGAGCAGGAGGATGGTCCAGGGCCGGATGAGGCCCATGGCGAGCTGGACGCGGCGGCGCTCGCCGTCCGAGACGGCGTGCATGCGCCAGGCGGTGTCGATGTCGAGGACGCTGACGAGCTCGTCGCGGCGGTCCGGGTAGGCGTCGCCGCCGACCGACCTCAGAAGCTCGAGGACGCCAATGTCGGTGCGGACGATGGGGTTGAGGACCCATTCGAGGCCGAGGTAGGTGACGCCCTCGAGGCCGTCCTTGAAGGGGTCGATGCCCGCGATGGAGATGCCGCCCTGCGGGGCGAGGCGCTTGCCGGCGAGGAGGCGGAGGAGGGTGGTCTTGCCTGCGCCGTTGGCGCCGATGAGGAGGGTGCGGGAGCGGGAGGGGACGGAGAGGGAGATGTTCTTGAGGCCGGAGCTCGAGTCTTGGAAGTTGTAGCTGAGGTTTGTCACCTCGATCGTGGGCGATTTTTGGGCCATTGTGAAGGTTTGTGTTGGTAAAGCTGTCGACAGCGAAATCTAAGGAGTATGAAAGTGAAGAACGGCAGAGAAAAGAGCACGAGTTTGGTCGTGAGAGGCTAAGAAATATTCAGAGAGGAAGGAAGGGAGGTGTGAAGCAAGGGCAAAAAAGTAGGCGATGCATCATTCACACCGCCCGCAAACTAAAGGCGTCATGACCTGACCCTCCGGCGATACTACGGGAAGACGGAGACCGAGGGGCCCAGAATCCAAGTGTCTTAACACTTTACCGCGCATTGGATTAGCAACCAAGTTAACCAAAGCCTGGCGGGATGGCGGGGGAGGGAGGGGGAAAAAAAAAGTGCCCCTCATTCTCATTCCAGAAGGGCGAATGATGACACACACAGGGAGTACCTTAGGTACCTTACGTAGAGAGCAAGGGAACCCCGCCATCCAATTGACTTTCAGGTTGGTCGAACCACTGGACGGACGGAGGACACAGTCCCTGAACCGTCTCTCCGGGCCGCTCCAAGCACCGGGGCGGGGCTCTCCCCCGGGGGAGCAAGCCACAGCCAGAACAGCCCAAGGTGCCTTACAGGGAAGCAACCCCTCCCAACCACAATTAACGCCAAAATTCGCGACTTTTGCCAGCCCAGAGTCCTCCGACGCGTCTGATGTGCGCATTCAATTCACATCCCGGTTTCACACATCCACCACGCCGATTGACACTACGCAAAGGCTCTTTGCAGCTCAGTCACATCACATCTACCGTCAGCAAAAGTCGAAAGAAACACAACTCATCTGCTGCAATGGTCACCCTCGAAGAAGCCACCACGCTTCTCCAAAAGCCAGCGTGTGTTCCTATTGATCTATAAACCCAGAAGCTCGCTAACCAGCTTCCTTGAACCACAGCGACGCAACATCGTCCTCGTCGAATCTCGTCCGCGCGCCGTCATCCTACAAACCCCTCCGCACTTTTGACCTCGCCAAAGACCGCTCGTACCAGCAGCAGTATGCCGACGTCTATTTCCTCCGCCTCACCTCCATCCGGCCCGCCGTCGACGCAGTCGCAGCCGAGGCCTGGGACGGCACCGTCATAGGCGGCGAGGAGGCCCGCCATGTCAACCGTGTTCTCGACGTCCGCCAGGGCGAGCTGTGCTGGGTGACGGGGACGGTCTACATGGACATGGCATTGAAGCCCAATATCTTGGAGGACGTTTCCAAGGATGTACGTCCCATGATTTCTCTTCTGCCACTCCCTTTTCAAGCTGTTTTCAAAGTCTCGCAAAGTCCCGGACTAACGAAGAAACACAGCGTTGGATCTCTGCTCCCATCTCCACGGACCGCTACTACTCGGACGAAGACAAGGACACAATCATGCTCGAAGACGACTCGGGCCGCATCCGCCTCGTCGGCGACATCCTCAAGTCCATCCACCTCGTCACGGGCACAATCATTGGCGTAATGGGCTCCGAAAACGCAAACGGCGAGCTCGAAGTCATCGACGTAAAGTTCCCCGACATCGCGCCCCAACCATCCCGCTGGACCCTCGCAAACGACCCCTCAGAAGACCACGATATGTCTGGCACACCGTCCCAAAAACGACCCTCCTCCAAGATCGCCATCGTCTCGGGCCTCTCCTTCTCAGGCACAGACGCCTCCTACGCCCTCGAACTCTCCCTCCTCCAAGAATATCTCCTTGGCGAAGCCCTCTCCCCAGCAACCCAATCCGAGCTCGCCTCCATTTCCCGCCTCATCATCGCAGGAAACTCCATCGACAACACCACCGCCGCCACGGCCGACACAACCACAACCACATCCGCAACCAACGGAAGCAGCAAAGCCTCGTCCACCATCAAAAAATACGGTTACGACGCGAGCGCCTACAACCCGCTCCCGAGCCAGCTCTTTGACGACTTCCTCGCCGACCTCCTCCCCTCCCTCCCCGTCACTCTCATGCCGGGCACCCAGGACCCGGCCAACGCGAGCTACCCGCAGCAGCCGATCCACGCCGCCATGTTCCCGCGCTCGCGGCCCTACTGCGCCGCGCCCGACGCCGAGGAACCCGGCTGGCTCGACACCACGACGAACCCCTGGGAGGGCGAGGTCGACGGCTGGAGGGTTCTCGGCACGGGCGGGCAAAACGTCGACGACGTCTTCAAGTACGTCGACAGCGACGACCGGCTCGGCATGATGGAGGCCATGTGCAGGTGGCGGTGCAGTGCGCCGACTGCGCCGGATACGCTTTGTGAGTTTTGCCCCTTGACTTATCCCCTTATCTGAGGATGACCACTTGACTAATTGCGATCATTCCAGGGGCCTATCCCTTCCAAGACGACGACCCGTTCGTCATGAAGAATGCGCCGCACCTCTTCTTCGTCGGCTGCCAGCCCGAGTTCTCGACAAAGGTCATTGAGGGCGGCGACGGGCAGCAGGTCCGGTTGATTACGGTGCCGTCCTTTGCAGAGACCAAGGAGCTGGTGTTGGTGGACACGGAGACGTTGGAGGTTTCAAAGGTCAAGATCACGACGACTTCAGCAGCGGCATCATGATGGAGAAGAGAGAGAGAGAGAGAGAAAGAGAGCTGGGAATGGCTGTGGAGGAGAGCATATAAAAAGGTTTATGATTTGATATACCCCCACCCTCGAGCTATGAAGAAAAATGCAAACATCTCCATCATGGAGCGGAGATTCTGAGTTAATGGCTTCCAGTTGTTTAAGGCTTAAAGATGAAATTCAACGCTGTGGAGGGTGCTCTATGAACCAATCGCCCGCTCAAAAGGGGCCGCAGGAATGAAACGTCCCTATGCATCTGCGAATCCGGAGAAGAGACCAAATGCTACCGTCTCTCCCAAGCCAGCATCCAGATCCTCGTACGCCGACGAAGAAACGCACCTAACCGCAAAGCGAAGCAAAACCAAGAACCCAAAGCAAACCCCTTTCCCAAATGCAAACCCACGCAATCAAAAAGTCCCATCCTGAAAGAGAAGAGAATCCTCCCAATCCTCATAGCAATAGTCCTCTTCATCATCACCAAACTCGTCCTGCTGACGGCGCTTAAACTGCCCATTCGTGGCCTCCCAAATCTTGCGGATCGCAGCCGGCAATGAGTCGAGCTTCTTCTGCGCCTCGCCCGCCTTGGCGCTGCGGTACGACTGCATGACCCGGTCGTCGCGCCACAGATCCTTCTCGCCGCGTTTGGCGCGACGGATGTTGGCCGCGTATTTCATGTTGAGGACGATTTTCTCTTGGCCTAATTGTCCTTTTCCAGGGCTATCACCTCCATCGCCACCGCTACCGTCACCATCACCGCCGCTGCTGCTGACGCCCGTGTTGACGAGAATCTCGATAAACTGACACGGCAAGCCGCGGAGCGTGCGGACGACCTCGGAGGATCGCTCGAAAAAGTCGAGAAACGAGACGTCACCCGTGCGCGGGTCGCGCTGGGGCGTGATGTCGATGGTGAGGGTGTGGATGCGCGGGCGGATGGGCCGCAGGCCGCGGAAGACGTTGATGGCGTTAGCCATGCTGAGGCGGTAGGGCGCGTTGGCGCGGTTGGCCTCGGCGACGATCATGAGCTTGCGGAACTTGTGGCCGAAGCGGCGGATGTCAATGTCGGCTGCCGTGTGGCCGTCAGCCAAGAATGACGAGGACGAGGGCCTGTTGGTGACGACATCGTCTTCGTCAGAGTACTCGTCCGCGCTGTCTGCCTCGTAGTCGGAGAGGGCGTCGTTGTCGGTGGCAAGCGGGTGTTGGACCACGATCTCGTTCTCGCCCTGCGCGTTGAGGGCGGGAAGTTCGGCGGCGTCGCGGAGGAGGTAGAGGAACGTGTTTTCGCCGTAGAGGGTGTTGAGAGCCTCCTTTCTGACTTGGCGGCATGTTCGAATGAGGTCGGTGCGGATGCCTACTCTGTTCCGGGGGTAGACTGCGGACCAGCCCTGGTGGACTCGGATGGGCTCGTCGGCGACTAGGATGTACTTATAGATATCCTCTCTGATCTCAAGGGGGATTCGGAGAAAGGGGCAAGTGCGGCTCTTGGGCTGCGGCTCTGGCTCCGACTCCGGGGTGGCTGTTCTTGATAAGATGCCACTGTAGCGGCCTGAACTGGGTCTCGCCTGCCAGTTTCCAGGACGAACTACCTCTTTGCCCTTGTTGCGAGGGATCGTGGACTTGTTCTTCGGATCGGGCCGAGAAGATTGAGATTGGAGAGGAGGAGACATCAAAGGAGCGCCCCAAGTGAAATGGGCCGTCGACTTCCTCGCAAAGGTTGCTCCATAATCACGCGGCGGGGGCCTCTCACGAACGGCATGGTAATCGTGAGCATTGGTGTTGCCGCCAGTTCTGCGTCGTTTGCTGGGTTGGATCGTGCCATCGTCATTGCTGTCTTCTTCGACAACGACAATGGACCGCTTGTGGCCTGCGATGACGATTGAAGTCTCAGCTGGCTTGGGAGTCTTTGACTTTTTGGCTGAGGCGCGTTTCTTCTGTTTCTTCTTCGAAGACGCGGTCCCGGATGTCTTGCTTCGAGGTGCGCTTGCAGTGGCCGGCTTCTTGACCAGACCGGAACTCTTGGCCACGCGGGAGACCTTGGATGGAGGCATACTGCAACTGATAGTGGGATTGGGACTGGCTGTGTCTGAAGTCGAATTCGGCGCTCCCGAAACCGGCGAGAGAATCAATACTTTAGATATATAGGCGTATGTCTGTGTAAGATTTCGTGGCAAATGACTTGAAGTTGTAAGAGTTCCCGTCAGTGCTACTTTAGTCAGTAAATGGTAAAGCTTACAACCCGCTGGCCCAATATCAAAGCATGCTTACCTTCCTTCTTAGATTGTGCTTTGATCAAATCTTCAACCTGTTGTAGGATGAAGTGCCCGATAGGCAAGTCTCGTTGTCTTCAAAGCATAAAGAGGAAGAAAAGTCAACGGATAAATCAGAACGAGAGGCAAGAGCTACGAAGACTCTTGCTTCCTTTGAGACAATGGTTCCTTGAGGTAGTGAAGGGTGGGTAAAAGAGACTTGGAGGTTGCAATTATGCCTTCGTGAAGAATAAAGCCTCGCAAGGTAGCAACGAAGAAAAAGATTGTGGAAAGCTAATCCGTCTTGATTAGTGTGTGCTGCCCGTTGCTTTGATTCTCAGCCTTAGTCGGCGATTTGCTTATTGTCGTATGCCTCGTCGGCTGGAATGCTTGGGAAAGAAGGTTGTGACGATAGAAGAGGAACTATTGTGGTGGAGTGATGTTGCGGTGAAATAATTGAGGCGCTAATGAGGTGTTGGTGGTGGAATATAGCTGGAGGACAAACTCGTGAGATAAGCACTTGATGTCTTTTATATTGCCCTGGGAGGAAGGAAAGAGGGATCGTCCAATGCGCAGAAAATGAAGAGGGAAGGATTGCCTTTTGGAATGCCCGGGAAGAGCTCCCCTGAATTTGTTCTTGGGGGGGGGGGGGGGGCAATGGAATCAACGTCAACGATTTCTGCAGAGATGCCTGGGTATGAGGCAGTTGCAGATGGGTAGACTATCACAGGATGAGGAATTTAGCTTGCGAAATGAATTGTTGTCAAAGGATAGAGAGGATTTTGATCATCTGAAGCCAATAAGATTCCTAAGTAAAGAGACTCTAGAGGGTCAAAAAGAGTTCACCCCCCGGTGTTGAACTGGGGCTACATCTCTTGGTGCTCATGCTGGGAATCGAACTTGGAGCCTGTCTTCGAGTAGGCTGTGGGCGTAATTGCTGATTGTTGACCTTGAACCACTCCACCACCCATCCCAGTTTGACCTGACCTCCCGACCTAGAGAGGCGCCTGCTGGTTGGTGACAGGAATGGACTGGAGAGGGTATATGAAGGCATACTCCTGTGTATTCAGACAAGTATATGCCTTAGGTATCAAGCAAGATGGAGCTCGGGAAAGTGCTAAGCAGGTACAAGGGGGGACAATAATTCTAGTTAATGTTGGTTGCATCCTCTCAAACTATCAATCTTGACAAGAACTCTGGCTTCATGATCATGATGACGAGAGAGCCTGTTTCTATTTCTATACTCATGAGACTATAACTCAGTTTTTGTTGGTTTCACAGCGTCGGGGAATCTAATGCCCCCCAAGATTCTTTCTGTGCTGCCCTCTCTTCCCGACGCCTCTCCTCAGACACAGCCGGTACTATTTCAGGATGGCAAAATGACTTTTTTAGAACACGCCTAGCAACGACATTCCTTTGATTTGCGTACCAAGGATCAATCAGTCCTCAAAATGACGGCCTGGAGGTCGGCTCCGTTGCTGTCGCCATGTCCGGAGGCCGGGCATGTTAAAGTGCCCCGGCTCGGCTTCCGGCCACCGATCGGCAAAGCTCCCGGTTGCCGTCGGATCCCTGTTCCGGCCCCGTGCAGCCGTGCACCCGCATCCGCAAGTGCGCCCTTTACTTGACTCAATGCAGTAACTTGACACTCTTAGTCGGGCCAGCGCGCCATGGCAAATTATCGAGAAGCTTCTTTACCGGCAGTCATCAACTTATACAAAAAACCCAACACATGAATGAGGTTATTTCTCAACGTTACCAGAATCGCACGAATTGGCTTATTCACTACGCACTTGACGCTGATTGAGATATATTATTTGAGCGCTCTGAATCTTGGAGACCAAGTTTCTCGCAGCAGGTATCCGTGGCTTTGATTCTTCATTCTTCCATCTCGCCAACATCGTCGAGATCTGGGCTTCAATTTCTCAGAGTTCAAGGCCTATCGAAAAAGGAGCTTGTGTGTGTACCCACATGCCACTCCGACTTTGCCAAACTATCCTCGGAATAAATCCCACCGGCTAACTCTATTCAGTTCACACCAGAGAAAAAGCCTCCATCACCAAGCCTCCAGCTTCGTCAAATCGGTCACAATGGGTTCCCTCGGTCCAGACACCAAGAAGCCGTGGATCCAAACACCATGCATCGCATCAGCTACTCTGTCTCGCGCAGCAGGATGGTCAGTCTTCCCATGACACCTGCCTACCTGAACCCCGTCAACTGACACCACCCAGCAACATCTACCTCAAACTTGAAAACCTCCAACCCTCAGGCTCCTTCAAGTCCCGCGGCGTAGGCAACCTCATGGTCCGCGCCGCCGCCGACGCGCCGGCCGACCAAGAATCCCACTTCTACTGCTCCTCGGGCGGCAACGCCGGCCTCGCCTGCGCGACCTCGGCCATCGCCCTCAACCGCAAGGCCACCATCGTCGTGCCCATGACCACCTCCCCGCTCATGATCTCCAAGCTGCGCCTCCTCGGCGCCGACGTCCGCCAGATCGGCGCAAACTGGGCCGAGGCGGACGCCCACCTCCGCGAGGTGATGCTCGCCAACGACCCGGCGGGCGTGTACGTGCCCCCCTTTGACCATCCGCACGTCTGGGACGGCGCGGCCACTATTGCCGATGAGCTCGTCGCGCAGTTGGCATCATCATCGCCGGGGAACGAGGTCGAAGTCAACGGGATTGTGTGCTCCGTCGGCGGCGGCGGGTTACTAGCCGGTCTCGCGCAGGGCGTCGCGCAGAACCAGTGGCCAGGGAAGGAACCGCGGCTGATGGCCGTGGAGACGGTTGGCGCGGACAGCCTCAACGCCAGCGTGCTCGCCGGTGAGCACGTCACGCTGCCAGGGATCAAGTCCATTGCGGGATCGCTGGGTGCGGTGCGCGTTGCGGCGAGGGCGTGGGAGGTGGCGAGGGATACGCCCGGGTTCCAGAGCGTGACGGTCACGGATGCCGAGGCGGCGCTGGCGTGTGTGCGCTTTGTGGATGACGCGCAGCTGGTGGTTGAGGTTGCTTGTGGTGCGACAGTTGCGACGGCGTACAACGGTGCGCTTAGGAAGCATTTCGGTGCGGGCATGTCGGACGAGGAGTGGGCGAAGCAGAACATTGTGCTTATTGTGTGTGGCGGTTCGAATGTTACTATGGAGATGTTGAACGAATACCGTTCAAAATATGGTCATGCTTCATGAAATCATCTCATCGGTACTTGGGAACAGGCAGCATAAAAGGAGGCATCAGCTTGGGCATGCCCCGAGGATAGACTCTGTCCGGAGGATTTGAGGCGAGACCTTAGAAGACACGAGAACGGGACAAGACTAGACACACATGGTTGTAGACAGCTGCCGGGTCATATTCCTCGGCATCAAACCCCCTATCTAGAATACGAGACCTCACGATACTCATCCGCAGCCTTCATGCCAGCAGAAGAGGCCACAAACTCATCCATGTCCCCAAGAACCATCTGAATCTCGCCAAAGTAATTCACCTCCCCCTTCTGCACGAACCCCAGCCGCCGAAATAGCGCAATGCTCGCGGCATTGCCCTCCTTAATCTTCACCATCAAACCCTTCAGCTGCGCCGCCTTCTTGGTCGTTCCTTTGCCCCCCTCCCCTCCATGAACATACTCCTCGAGGATCTGCGCCTTGTTCCGGTGAACGTACGTCAACAGCGTCGTCACGGCGGCATGGCCGATACCCCTGCCGCGGTGTTCCTTGGACGCTACCATGACGTCCACCTCGCCGACGTACAACCCTTCGTTTGCCGCGGCGGCCTGGCCCTCTGCATCTTCGTTGTCATCGTCGTCGTAGGGATAGATGAAGAAGTTGATATCACCAATCATCCGTTCCGAAGCATCAACCTCACCCGCTTGCACGGTCTCGGTCGACGCCGTCGTCGACGACGAGTCGAGAGGCTGGCAGATGATAAAGGTGAGTTTGTCGTGAGAGGTGCGCCACGACTGCTGGTTCTCGTACTCCTCTTCCAACGTGAGCGGCTCCGACGCTGTGGCTTCCTGGATATCCTGTATGGAAGGAATCGCGCAGTTAGTCTTATATCCCACCCGTCTGCACCATGAATCTGTATCATCACTGGATGACTTCAACGTAAGTGCACTTGTTTGCGGGCTACTGGGCTGACCGGATCACTCATCCACTCATGATATCGTTCCACATGTCTTGCCTCGTAGGGGACGAGAGTTACCCTCGGCGTCACGATGGCTATTCCGCATGTAAGCGCACATTATCACCCCAGAACAGATCGCGCCACATCTCCGTCTCTGTCTCTCTCTCTCTGTCTCTCGAGAACAGAAGTGGCGCGTGGGTGCGGTAGGTACATGCCTGTATGCTCATTCAACCTCATTGTGCACTTTGCATAAGTCGCTTCAAAGGTTGCTTTCCGTCCTTCACAAGTTCACAACTGCAGCACTCCGTATACGTAGTTGCTGTCCCTCTCACGGGTTCCACTTCGAAAAGCCAAAACGCCGCCCCGCCGTCTCGCCCACAACAAAGCTCCTCTTCTCTCCTGCAGGCGTCCGAAAAGAGGGGAATGAAGACCTAGTCCAAGGGTACCTGCGGCTAAGCCAAGTGTACGATGTGGTGAAGGATGGAGTTCTGGCCTGGAATATCCACAGTTCACAAGCTCCCAGCTAAGTCAACGTGCCAGAGTGGTTAATGGGCTGCCCTGCTACGGATCCATCAGGATTTGTCCTGTTCCAGCAGCTGAGGCAGTGGCTTCGGTCGCGCAAGTTCGAATCTTGTCGTTGACGGTGTTCTCTTTTTTTCTCGGTCCCAAGAGTTCCCAAGACTTTCGAGGCGAGTGGACATGTGCGAGTTGGAGAGTGAATACTTTTGTGCTGGAGTTGTAGATGCGAAAGCTTGGGGGGGGAGCTCACAACCCGGCCCCACTCTGGATAGCTCATCCATACCTAGGTAGGTGCCATGTAGAACCAAACAGCAAACACAACAACCATTCGGTAGTTTTTTGAATGAGAAAAAGTTGGGAAAAAGAAAATTTGATCATCGGCAACCACGATAGAAACGAAAGGTTGTACAAAGAGCAAAAGATAAACGCGAATGCGTCAAGGACAGGATTCGAACCTGCGCGACCGAAGCCACTGCCTAATCTGGAATCAAGGTTTGATAGCAGGGCAGCCCATTAACCACTCTGGCACCTTGACTAGTGACTTGCTGTTGAAATTCCACTCCCTTCATCGCCTCAAGTAGCGCTTCACTCCAAGAGCGCGCAAACGACGCTGTCTCGACCACACCTCACAGCTTGCCCTCACAAGCCGATCTCTTCGAGGCATCTTAGACGGACCCTGCAGCAATTGGATCATCTTCTGGAACAAGCCCTCGAATCGCACTCTAGCTAAACCAGGCCCTTGAACCTTCGTTTCGTGTGATTACACAATATCTATACACCATCTTACAATCGGCATCAACAGCGGAGATAGTACACATATTTACACGGGGCAAAAGCCCACTTCTTGATCACTTCCCAACCCGACTTCTCCCCACTCAATTCTCAGCCGGCTGGGGAGGGAACAAGCTGTTGAACTCGCCGGGACGTCCCAAGTCAACCGCAGGCGTGCCGTACGCCAAATCCTTGCCAAACACCGCATCCTCAAAGCGGCGCTTGCCAGCCTCGACGCCCATCATGTCAAGCAGCATACCCATCTTGGTCGGCATCACCGGCTGCAGGAGGATGCCGGCGGAGCGGACGGCTTCCGACGCATAATAGATCACCTCGTGTTTAGCGGCCTGGACCTCGGGATCCGTCGAGTTGGCCAGCTTCCACGGTTCCGCGGCGGAGATGTACTTGTTTGCCTGGACACGTCGAGTCAGTATTGAATCATATAAGTTAGCCCCGGTGCATGTAGGCTTGTCCATACCTCGGACAGAACGTGCAGAACGCTCCGAATGGCGGCGTTGGGATTCAGCTCGTCCATGTGCTGCGCCATGGACTGCGCCATCCCGTCAACCAACACCTTCAACTCCTCGCTGCCTTCAACCTTGTGACTCGTCGGCGCGCTACTCTTCTCCGCCGCCCACACCACCGAATCCCGAAGCTTCCACTTCTTGCTCTTAGCCACGCGGTTCATCAGGTTCCCCACCGTCGACTGCAAGTCCTTCTGATACCTGGCAATGACGAGCGAGTTCTCATAATCCGCATCCTTCTCGATCCCGCCGTCCCGCATCATAAAGTACCGCATCGTGTCCAGACCCCACCGGTCGATCGCGAAGAACGGGTTCACCACGTTGCCCAGCGACTTGGACATCTTCTTCTTCCCCAGCGTCCAGTGCGCGTGGCTGAGAAGCTGCTTCGGCAGCGGCAGGTCCAGCGCCATCAGCAGCGCCGGCCAGTACACTCCGTGGAACCGCACGATATCCTTGCCAATGACCTGCACGTCCGCCGGCCACCCGCCCTCGTGCTCGCGGCCGGGCCGCCAACCCGGGAAACCGGCTTTCGTAAGGTAGTTGATGAGCGCGTCGACCCAGACGTAAATCGTCTGCGTCGGGTCGTCCGGCACCCGCACGCCCCAGTCCAGCCTCTGCACCGGCCGCGAGATGGACAGGTCCTCGAGGTTGTTGGACACCCACGCCACCACCTCCTTCTGCCGCGCCCTCGGCACGATCCAGTCCGGGTTCGCCTCGTAGAACGCGAGCAGCCTCTCCTTGAGCGCCGTCATGCGGAAGTGGTAGTTCTTCTCCTCGATCCACTCCACCTCGTTCCCGGACTCCACGGCCGCCATGATGGTCCGCCCCGTCTGCGGCTCGACCCGCCGCTCAATCTCGTTGTTGCCGTAAAAGCACTCGTCGCTGACGCAGTACCACCCTTCGTGCTTGGATTCGTAAATGTATCCCTTTTCCTTGAGCAGGTGCCAAAAGTGCTGCACCGCCTCCTTGTGGTCCTGGTCCGTCGTGCGGATGAAGTGGTCGTTGGCCATGCCGATGGCCTTTGCCAAGTCCCGAAACTTCTCGGCCGTCGTGTCGCAGAACTCCTTGGCCGGCACGCCTTGCTTCGCCGCTGCCTGTTGGACCTTGGAACCGTGCTCATCCGTGCCGGTGCAGAGGATCGCGGTCCGGCCCTTGAGGACTTGCCAGCGCTTCAGGACGTCTGCCAGGAGCATCGAGTACATGTGGCCGACGTGTGGTGCTGTTGAGTCGCAATGTTAGCTTGGGCCTGATAGAGGGCCCCATGGGAATTGCACATACATGCATTGACGTAAAAGATGGGCGTCGTCACGTAGTACGGCTTGTCGCCCTTGCTGTCGGAGCTCGCGAAACGGCGTCGCGATGTCTGCCCGTGGGTGCACGAGGGGCAGACCCAGGGCGATCGCATCGCCGGGACATGGCGGCGATTGCGGAACGCCGAAGCTGTCGATAGCCTTGCTGGTCTCATTGAACCTGTTGTTGTCGAGCTTACCGCTTAAGAAGCGTGCCGTCAACAGCTGGGATTGGCAGGTTGCGTGATGAATCGAAAGCTTGCAATGTTCCTCGCTCCAAATGCACCGTACGGATTGTTTTTGTCGATAACGGCCCAGAGCTCTTATCGGCGCGCGATCCCTGTAATGCCCCGCCAAACTTCTTCCCTCGTCCTTTCAACGCTTGCATTGTTGCGACAACACCGCCGAGTACAATACGATTTCCAACTTTCTTCCTCCAACACAACTCGGGCTGAAGCACACGAACAGAGCACCGCAATCATGTCTCTCCCCTCTCGCGAAACAGAAATGAGGGCCTCGGCCGACGGTACTTCCATTTCCATCCCCTCCCACCAGACTCACTCTTTACCTCATGGTAGAACTAACACATGCATCCCCAGCGGCCTCAAACTTCGCAGACGCCTATTACGAAGCCCTCAACCGCCGCAAACAAGGCGGCACCCTCGAAAAGTTCTACACAACCTGCTGCTCTAAATACCCGTCCCCGCCCGACATCTCCATCAACGGCGCCGTCCTCCAAGGCGGTCCCGACGAGTACGTCGCCCTCCTCGACGCGCAGGGCGCCGACGTTCACCACGAGGTCGAGTCCCTCGACGCCCACGTCGTCAATAGCGATTTCTCCCTGGGTTGCCCCGAGCACCTGCAAAAGGGCGACGAAAAGGGCGCAAAGTGCAGCATCATGGCGCAGGTCACGGGCAGGGTACACTACGGCAGGGGCCGGGATGCTCCCGCAAAGACGTTCAACGA